GAATTTCTAATTTTTCTTATACCTACCTAGATTGTTTATTATATTATTTACCTCCACATGAATGAGTAGATAACTAAATAATATCTAAATAACTAATCAGATACTCGTAGTTCAAATAGTTTCCCGCTTAATGGTTTGATTTCGCCTCTCATATAACTAATTACCTCAAACGTAGCCCTCGCTTTGTTGTGGCCGTGTGTAACTAAGCCGGGGGCGTAACACGTAAATTTAATATTTCATTCCTAATTCTACACAAATCTGCTTCGAGATAGCCCTTTGGAAATGAGGGATACGTGCCCGCAGTGATGAGTGGTTTGTTACGTCTTTTTGCAGCTAATTCGTGAAAACAATTCGAATTTTGGAACGTTTTGGTTTTGTAAAGCCTACTGCTTAAGTAGAGCTAAAATATTTTCCTTAAAATTACGAATCAACGATGGGATGCGTTGTTTTTTCAGCGCATCATTGATATCTTAATAATTGATAATTAATAAAGGCAGCTTAAAAAGTCTGTGTCAAGATCCAAACTGTTATAATAGGTATTTATTGGTTTAACGAACACTATTTTTTTTTTGCATTTAGACCTTTTCTCAAGTTATACTCGTTTCCTGATAATGGAAAACATCTTTATCTTGTTACTTATTTACTACATTCATATTTTCAGAGAACGAAAATTCATCTAAACAATTACGTAAGTAGTGTCTAGAGAAAATGAACATCTAACCTTTTATTATATTCATTATTTCACGAAGAAACAGAATCAACAATAAGATAATGTAATGTAGTAGTTAAGCGTTGTGGATTAGGACATTAACCTTCGCAGGGCTGTTTGGTTAGGTATAATTAGGTGTTCATCGCAATTAGTTCAGATAGATGTTACATCATCGCGATGTAGGTACATTGTCACTATTGTGTTCATACCTGTACACATCGAACTAATTTAACACGTGGGGAATTCCCATAACGGGCGCATATAAATGAGAGCTACCGACGGCACGTCAAGCTGAACAGTGGCCTCGTATATAGTTGTGATACGGACTATTTTGAAGGTAAAGTATTAAGTTTGACGTGCTTTCGTCTACAATATTATTACAAGATTAGCATATCGTTCAAGTGATTGCTGTTGGTTTGTTCAAATTAATCGCCCTCAGAGAGTATTCTGCTTTGAAACTAAATATTGCTTGGGGCTTGAGCAATTAAATTGGCGGGTCGATGCCTATTTTGAATACGAAATACTTTGAGGATTAGGCAAATGCGGTAACATAGAACACAATCTGATAAACTTCTGGAGCGTGTTTCAATACTTTGTTTGTTATCTTTTGGTTTCAAACTTATTTTCATAAACTTACTGAAATAACTTAAGACATCCTGCTGATTTGAATAAGAATTTGTTAAAGCCAAACGTTCGCGTTAAGATAATTTACATTACTAGGTACCTAAGTGAGGTGCGCAAGCTTTTAAGGAAATTTTGTATGGGTCGGTCCCTAAAACAAAATAGTACGATGTGAATATAACTTTTGTTAATTTCTTTTGTTTTCTTTTATCTAACATTGAAAATATTCTTTTACTGCCAGTTCTTTTATAAACGGTCTTGGTCTAAATGGGATATCGAGTAATAAAACTGAAAAGAAGTAAAACGGCATTCATTTGAGAACGCAAACTAATCGTCTGCTTACACCAAGTCGTAAACATAAAGGGACGCAAATTAAACGCACTAAAATAGCTAATATCTCATATGAGAAATTGGGTGTGTGAGGCCATAAATATATGTAGTACATATTTAACATCATTAATCTCTTTGTGCTGACAGGCGCGTTAGTTTCGACTGCGAGAAACATTACAGATTACACTAAATCAGTATTAAAGATATCTCGGTAATTATAGTATTGCCAGCTAATATTTTCTAATATATTTTCGCTTTTCGTTTGTCTTGGCGCCGGCAATTTATAGTAATTGAGTTTTATTGTCCTGAAAACAAAGGTATTTCATCGCTGAGAGCTAGTAATATAGGTTAATTCGAACGTTTGTAATAGAAAATAATTACCTCATAATTGTGTTTTATTACAAAATTACTCTAGAGAATGAGAACAGTTTATAAGAGTGAGGTTGTTTTTTATGACGCAATGGTCAGATATGGTGGTATAATATTATTACTGAATTTAAAGTGTTACGATTCAACCTCAATAATAATAATATAGCCTTGCCAAGTTTTTAGCTCGACAAAATACCTACTTGCAAAATATTTTAGTTCAGTTAGAATCATAATACTTACTTCCATTTCTTATTAAGTAAATGTCATATTACCTCACTAAGGGCGGCGCTGATAAAGACGTAGATTTGAAGACATGGCGGATTTGTCAAGACATTGATTGATCGGGCATTAAGAATTTTCCCGCACAAACCTTTCCCCATGATTGATACAAACACATTTTTTGCGCTACGTTTGCTTTTATTTACTTTTTAAATGTAACGGTTCGATTACATCATTAATAATAAAAAATATTGTATCTAATATACCTGAAGAAAAAAATATTCATTATTCATCAATAATATGGTCTATTCCACTTTGATCACCTGGCTTTGATGACCCAGGTGATCAAAGTCCACTTTCAGCGACAATTTAGTGTCCTTTGATCACCCACGGATACTATGCTCTGGGTGATCAAAGTGGACTCCAGTTAAATTACTATTTTAGTGTCCTTTGATCACCTATAAATAAATTATAACTCTGATTAGTCACATACATGTCCAATTTGTTTGTTGCGGTTTTTAGAAAATATCAAAAATGTTATAAACAAAATATGTAAGTATAACAATTGGACATGTGACTATTCAGAGGAGGTGTGATTTGTATGTAGGTGATCAAAGGACACTAAAATTATAATTTAACTGGAGGTCACTTTGATCACCCAGGGCATAGTATACGTGGGTGATCAAAGGACACTAAATTGTCGCTGGAAGTGGACTTTGATCATCTGGGTCATCAAAGCCAGGTGATCAAAGTGGAATAGACCAAGAATATCGATATAAGATTTTAGTTTAATATTCGAACCATTTTTCCGAGATTACATACGAAGATTTTATATTTTTTTCTATCAGTCTATCGAGCTTAATTATATTACTTTCTTGTCGAATCCCTTTCGTAACAATCGGTATTCGGAGATTTTCGGGAATATTGGTTTTCAACACCGACGGCGACAAGACTCTTGGGAGGTAGTGTGATAATCGAAAGGAATTTCGTGCGGCCCTTGAGTGGTGCGGTACACAATCGGATATCTTAACCTTTTATTCATTGACTGCTAGATCCTATTAATCTTTCAGACTCTTAGGGCAAAAACCTGTTAAAAAATGTTTGTTTCAATAGCAATTAGTGCACATAGTTGTTCATGAAAACAGTTACACTTCTGCAGGTTAGAGAAACTGAACATTTGAAAACAAAGTACATTATGAGCTTTTCTTTCAGTTTTATTTAAATGTGTGATTGTTTAATCGTTTTAGAAGACATAAAAAAAAAGATACTTATACAAAACACAACAGGTAATCTGGGCTTCATCCCTTAGTGAGTGCTAAAGGTTTACATCCCAACTAATCCCAACTAATATTATAAATGCGAAAGTAACTCTGTCTGTCTGTCTGTCTGTCTGTCTGTCTGTCTGTCTGTCTGTCTGTTACGCTTTCCCGCTTAAACCTCGCAACCGATTTTGATGAAATTTGGCATAGAGATAGTTTGAGTCCCGGGAAAGAACATAGGATAGTTTTTATCCCGGTTTTTGAAACAGGGACGCGCGCGATAAAGTTTTTCTGTGACACAAAATTCCACGCGGGCGAAGCCGCGGGCGGAAAGCTAGTGTTCAATAATTTCGGGTTTACATGTTCAATAATTTCAATATGGCATGAATAATAATGCCACAGTCTACTTCGGGGTCAAGTTAAACCAGGTTAAGAAACCTTCATATTCAGGTTGAAAATTTAGCAATCGTTGAATTGATATTTTTCATGAGTCCTCTTCGTAAGGACTGCCATTTATATCCCGGGGGCTGCAATTTATTGCCACCATTTATCATTTCATCGAGTCCTTCCTCTCCCATATCATAGCGGACCGAGCTATCTTGAGAAGCCTCTTATTTTTATTATTTCTCTATATCGCTTTATACGATAACATCGTTCGCGGCGAACTGACTTATCATGCTATCATTTGGACCCAATAGTTGATTGAGCTTCCTTGCAGAAAATCCTTATGGGAATAAGACAAGAGTGCGTGGATTTTACCTACCTAGTTCGCACTTCAGTATTACAAATCTTTGTAATGTATTTCCTTGATCTAAATTGAAAAAGAGGCTGACAATGATGATTGAGTTTCTTCCGCCACTTCTTCTCAACACCAGCCCATCATGTTGTCCAAAATCGGTGGTATGAAAACTATATTTGGAACGTGTACAAGTGCCCTGGAAAGGGCCTAAGTATTAAATGACTCGATTTTGATTTGATCTGTGCGTTTTCATCTCTTTTTCTCATACTAAGTATTACGTCACAAAGTGGTCTCTAAAGCAATACAAACAACATGGGGTTCATTAACATTTAGAGCACATTTAGTATGCATTGCTTTTACACGAAGGGACACAAACAGCTGTATGTAATGTAAATAAATGTACTGTATTATTATTAGGTTAATTGGACAAAGATAGCGAACACAAATACAGTGTTAATTTAAATAAGCTTACATGCAGCACAAATACAGCAACAGTCCTGAAGTAATCGCGTTAAATAGTTTCTACCAAAGCACGTGTTTCATTGAAATCGAGCTACGCTTGAGAGAACCAAATAATTTCCAGCGATAAGATCTTTAATGCTATTTTGTTTTCTAAATGCCCAGTGAAAACTAATATTAGTTAACCCTTCAAGTAACAGCGAAACGAGACACAATAAAAATCAATGTTACCGCGGTCCCATGCGATCACTAAGGGTTTCACGTTATGCTGTTTCCAATAGAAAGAGTGTTATTCTAGACAGATGTCTTAGTAATATCTTATAATATTCTTGAGGGTTAGAAAAGTATTTGCAGTCATCAACATTACAGTGTAAATGTTGTAGAGACCTCAAGACACAGTCTAATAAAGACAATCTTGAAATGTGGCAAGTTGAAGTACCAAGTGTTAGTGAAAAAATAGTGTAAACTAACAAAATGGTGGCAGTGTGTGTTGAAGAGTAGTGCGATGGACGTTGTAGTCGCAGTATGACCACGTGGATGGCGCTGTTCGGGCTAGTGTGGCTGCTGCGCGTGCGTGGCTCCCTCTGTGGGTGCGCGGCGTGCAAGCGCGCTCGGCACGAGGCGCCCGACGCGCCCGGCGCTAGCCCGCGCGCGCCTAGCCCAGACGAGCGCGCGCCGTTCGACGTCATCGCGCTCGAGAACTACACGCGTGACGTCACAGTCCAGACTGACTTTGACGATGAGGAGGTCGAGGATCTGGATAAAATCGAGCTGCAGATCACAGAAGAGTGTAAGTTTCATATTATTCAGTTTTCAATCCAACTAAATGTATATTATCCTGGTCCAGGGGTAATCAAGTGAAATATTTCAGTCTTACTTACTCGCTTGAAGTACCTATATCAGTTTCACATAGCATCCTAGTCTTAGTGAGACAGCTGTGGCGCTTTATAGCCAAATATGGTTGTTGCACACCCATGGGGTGCAAGCGCACTCGGACCGAGGCGCCCGACGCGCCCGGCGCTAGCCCGCGCGCGCCTAGCCCAGACGAGCGCGCGCCATTCGACGTCATCGCGCTCGAGAACTACACGCGTGACGTCACTGTCCAGACCGACTTTGACGATGAGGAGGTCGAGGATCTAGATAAGATCGAGCTGCAGATCACTGAAGAGTGTAAGTTTTATATTATTCAGTTTTCAATACAATTTACATGCAAATTATGATGGTCCAGGGGTAATCAGGTGAAAGATTTCAGTCTTACTTACTCGTTTGAAGTAAGAATAAGAAGAAGAAGTATATCAGCTTCACATAGCATCCTAGTCGTAGTTAGACAGCTGTGGCGCTTTATAGCCAAATATAGTTGTTGCACATCCATGGCTTCTTCTATCCATGGGGTGCAAGCGCGCTCGGCACGAGGCGCCCGACTCGCCCGGCGCTAGCCCGCGCGCGCCTAGCCCAGACGAGCGCGCGCCATTCGACGTCATCGCGCTCGAGAACTACACGCGCGACGTCACTGTCCAGACCGACTTTGACGATGAGGAGGTCGAGGATCTGGATAAGATCGAGCTGCAGATCACTGAAGAGTGTAAGTTTCATATTATTCAGTTTTCAATCCAACTACATGCAAATTATCATGGTCCAGGGGTAATCAGGTAAAATATTTCAGTCTTACTTACTCGTTTGAAGTATATCAGCTTCACATAGCATCCTAGTCGTAGTGAGACAGCTGTGGCGCTTTATAGCCAAATATGGTTGTTGCACACCCATGGGGTGCAAGCGCACTCGGCACGAGGCGCCCGACGCGCCCAGCGCTAGCCCGCGCGCGCCTAGCCCAGACGAGCGCGCGCCATTCGACGTCATCGCGCTCGAGAACTACACGCGCGACGTCACTGTCCAGACCGACTTTGACGATGAGGAGGTCGAGGATCTGGATAAGATCGAGCTGCAGATCACTGAAGAGTGTAAGTTTTATATTATTCAGTTTTCAATACAATTACATGCAAATTATGATGGTCCAGGGGTAGTCAGGTGAAAGATTTCAGTCTTACTTACTCGTTTGAAGTAAGAATAAGAATAAGAAGAAGAAGTATATCAGCTTCACATAGCATCCTAGTCGTAGTTAGACAGCTGTGGCGCTTTATAGCCAAATATAGTTGTTGCACATCCATGGCTTCTTCTATCCATGGGGTGCAAGCGCGCTCGGCACGAGGCACCCGACGCGCCCGGCGCTAGCCCGCGCGCGCCTAGCCCAGACGAGCGCGCGCCATTCGACGTCATCGCGCTCGAGAACTACACGCGCGACGTCACTGTCCAGACCGACTTTGACGATGAGGAGGTCGAGGATCTGGATAAGATCGAGCTGCAGATCACTGAAGAGTGTTAGTTTTATATTATTCAGTTTTCAATACAATTACATGCAAATTATGATGGTCCAGGGGTAATCAGGTGAAAGATTTCAGTCTTACTTACTCGTTTGAAGTATATCTTCACATCGCATCCTAGTCGTAGTGAGACAGCTGTGGCGCTTTATAGCCAAATATAGTTGTTGCACATCCATGGCTTCTTCTATCCATGGGGTGCAAGCGCGCTCGGCACGAGGCGCCCGACGCGCCCGGCGCTAGCCCGCGCGCGCCTAGCCCAGACGAGCGCGCGCCATTCGACGTCATCGCGCTCGAGAACTACACGCGTGACGTCACTGTCCAGACCGACTTTGACGATGAGGAGGTCGAGGATCTGGATAAGATCGAGCTGCAGATCACAGAAGAGTGTAAGTTACATAAATTTAGTTAGTTTCCAATCTAACTACATGCATATTAAATGGTCCAGATGTAATCAGGTAAAATATTTAAATCTCAGTCACTATACAGGGTGGAAACGTTAAGTGATCTCACTCGATTATTTCTAAACTATACAAGATATCGAAAAACTGATTACTGATTGTGAAAGTGCTTTACGAGTTTTTTCAAACGATATCAGTAATAGGTTACTGAATTAACTGGATCTATTCGAAAATTCAATGTTTTCAGCCTCCATACTAAATGTATGCCACTATGCCAGCCACACAATATTAGAAGTGTTAATTTTTTTAATTTAAATAATAAACACTTAAAATTAATTTGTGAATTGCATTCTTATTTAAAATTATTCACGGAAAACATTGGTTTTAGGCTTTACTTGCTATAATATTATCAAGACATGAGTGCTATGATTGTGGCAGTATTAAATGTATGGAAGCTGAAAACATTGAATTTTCGAATAGATCCAGTTTATTTTATAACTTATTATTGGTACCATTGGATAGAGCTCGTGAAGCACTTTTAGGATCAGTTACCAGTTTTTGGATATCTTGTATAGCATTTAATATTATGAGGTTTTACTAAATGTATGGAGGCTGGAAACATTGAATTTTCAGATAGATCCAATTTATTATGTAACCTATTATTGGTACCGTTGGATAGAGCTCATGAAGCACTTTTAGGTTCAGTAAGCAGTTTTTGGATATCTTGTATAGTTTAGAAATAATCGAGTGGATCACTTATCGTTTCCACCCTGTATTTACTTCTTCTTCTTCTTCTTCTTAGTCAACTACTCTTGTCAGAGTGGTCGTGATTGCGCTGACGAAGTACACTGCGGGGTGTTTGATGTCATCTCCGAGGGTAGCTATTAATTATATTTACTTATTATAGTTAATTAAAACGTCACATCAAATAAAACATTTTCATTACTTCTTATTTATTAAAAACGAAAATGTTTTCAGAAGATGGCCCCTATAAAAATGCTAAATTAAACATTTTCCAAAATTGTTCGAGAACGAAGGAAAGTGTTATGGACGGTAATGAATGGGGGCAAAGAAAATTAGACTGCCCTCTGATGTTTTCCCCGGCCTTTGTGAGTAGTCTACTTGTGTATCGCTTTATTTTTCAGCTTCCTAATCTGCCAATATTAGCGGTAAAAGCCTTGTCCTTAAGAGCCCTTTTTCTCAGAAAATTTCGACGTTGTGTTATAGAAAATATATTGAAAAGAATATCACAAGAGACTTTACAACACGTAAGTGAATGGCAGAAGTTTGTTTTCACTTCATTACCATAAATGATACGTTGGCAATTTTCACAACTAAGCAAAGAAAGTTCAATTTTGTTTCGTAATAAGAAAGAAAGGTTATTCGGTTATATTGCACGAGAGAATGTCGCTCAATGAACTGTTATGCTGAAATCTGACTTGAAAAATGTTTATTTGTTGCAAAACTTTTGCAATAAAAACCAATGGTCGTTTATAGGTAAAAAAGATTTTTCTTCCCAAAAGCCATTCGTTTCTGTGATTAACCTTTACACTTAGGTTGAGTTGCACCATCTTACCTTAACTATAACAAACATCAAAAGTCTGTCGAAATCCACACAAAAAGTTACGGTTAAAGAAAGATGGTGCAACTCAGCGTTAGTTGTAGTATCTATTTTTTGTTTCTCGCAATTGACGCAGCTTTTTCTTTTGACGAAAGCAATATTGCCAGCATTAATAGTCGAGGAAACCGTGGCCGAAGCACTTATGCGGCATAAATAAAACATAAAATTCATCCGTCTATTTTTTCCGGTAATTTATTTAAATTCGCGTCAGATTATTCATCGCGGATATCCGCAATAACAACTGAGACCGCATCGATAAAATTCGCTTTTTGAATAATTTTCCCAATCTATTTTACTACGCGTCGAGTTGATGCGCTATTTAATTTTACGAATTAACGCGTTATTTTAATTAATGATGATGTTAATTTTAGTCGCATTACAACAAATTTCGTCCTTAATGTATAACCATCAATTTTAAAGAACTTAATTTATTTTTATTTAACATGGATGATAGTTTTTGATCAAGGTTGTCGTTGCCTACGTTACTTGCTTACGTTTAAACAGAGAGATATAAGTTCTATCTTAATATTGTTGATTTCCAAACAAGCAAAAAATAAGAATATTTTGCGCTGCCGTCTAGTGACACGTGCTCTCCGTTAAAAAGCAAAATATAGAGACAAAATGTTTGGAAGCCAAAAGCCAGGTCAACCCGCGACTGTGTCACTCACAAAAACATCCACGACTAACTTGCTTGTTACCAAGTTGAAAAACTAAAACGCGTGGCTAAAAACATACCTAGGTCTCACCCATATACCTACATTTTTTATACAGGGTGTTAGGTAAATGGGTATATGAGCTGACACTAGCCCATGTTAACATGGTCATATAAATGGTATGGTGAAGTCAGAAAATTGATATCTTCATTTTAATTGTTTTATTTTTCATACAAATCGGATTTTATAAAATTTATTTTGTATGAAAAAAAAAATGATGATATCAAATTTCTGACTTCACCATGCCATTTATACGCCCATGTTTATTGTTTACATAGGCTAGTGTCGGCTCATATACCCATTTACCTAACATCCTGTAGTTATGTTTAACGATAATATTTTAAAACTGAGTTGCACCAACTAACTTTAACCGTAACTATAACGATGACCGGTGTATTTTGTGTGGAGTTTGATTGATTTTTGACGTTTGTTAAAGTCAAAGTAAAATGGTGCAACCCAGCCTAAGGGTAGCTCACTTTACCATTGTACCACATTCATAGAAATTAAAGCTTAGTCGTAGTATCTTCCATTATTTTTATTGCCCAAACCCGACCTATTTCCACGCCCATTTGTTTTCCAGGCTGGTTTTCATGCACATCGGATGCAAATAAGCCCCCACAATGTCCCAACGATTGCAATAGAATAGAAAACACAACAAGTTCGCCTCATTTACTTCAACGTCCATTTTGTTACCACTGTCTGTTACTATAACTATGTCTGTTTTGTTACTATAGCTATGTCCGTTTTGTTACAGCTCACGTCGGCAACTACGAGTGTGGGACTGAAGCGACGCAGAGCCCGGGAGGCGGCCGCTCCGGAAGTTACCAGGTCCGCTTACAATATTATCGGAGTAAAACAACACTTTAGTTCCGCACTGCACCTAGGTTTTCAACTTTCTAGCGCAGTTCCAAGTAGTGATGTCCAAGTATCGATAGTCGACTTATCGAATTGGGCTTCTCAATAGACACCAGCCATTGCATGAATCAATTTACAATTAATTTGTGAAACAAAAGTGTTTAATAAGGGTTGCATGTATAATGAAATTTTCTTGTTTGTTACGTTTACGCACCCACCGCATCGTTTCAGCCAAATGACGTTCACTACTGGACAAAGGCCTACCCCAAGGCACTACGCATTCATACTTATAAGCAAACTAGCTTTCCGCCCGGGGCTTCGCGCGCGTGGACTCCTGAACCCTATTTTTTTCCAAAATAAAATTTAGCCTATGTTACTCGTGGATAATGTAGCTTTAGAATGGTGAAAGAATTTAAAAAAACGGTCTAGTAGTTTTTGAGCCTATTCATTACAACCAAACAAACAAACAAAGTTTTCCTCTTTATGATATTAGTGTAGATGTAGATATTTGCTTGGTTCTAGACCGGACGGCGCAGTCTTAAATACCCAAAGATCTTTATTAATTTCACTACTATACTGTGCTTTTCAATACTATCGATACGCAATATCGATATTGGGCTGTCAAGCGGCTGCTCTACGTCTCGCGCATATAGGTCGTTGAAGGCCATTTTGTTAGCTCAGTAGGGTAGTTGCAAGGTTAAAACAACTTTTACAGTTTAGATTCCTGTTTTGTTGTTCTTGTTGCATCTTATGTTCATTGAATCGGAAGACGTTGGAACAACATTTGTTTATGTTGCAAAGTATTTTCTCAGTTTGCCTTGATTTTTCTTTGAACTTTAACATGGCTTTCGAGTTCGACTAAACAAATTATGCTGAAGAATTTGTAATGCTCCATTTAAGTTCTGAATTTTGTGGTTAGCATTGGAGTTAGATTTCCAAGGCTGAGTTTAGAGATGGGTTATACTAGGTAAATTTGATACTAGGTGCACCTATTCCAAGTATTTGTTAATACTCGATCCAAATACCTGTTCCACCTAGTACGTCGTAATAATTTAGCATACTTGACGCGACTAGTGCGGACTAATCCAAGTAATATGACTTTAAAATACAATTTTCTTTGAAAAGATACAACCGTAGTATGAATAATGCAATTTGAAATTGAATAATAATATAATTCCTCCCTTCATACTTCAACAGGCTTTGGACTGTCAACTTAAAAGTTGGCGTATTTAAAAGATATCAATTTCATAAAAATATTTACATACTTTTTTCTTATTTACACGAATATGGTTTGACTACGTTTGTGTGCGTTTGCTTCGTCGCGCTCAAATTTGTTTGGTTAGACAGAGACGGAGTGAATCTCTACGTTCGCACATAAGCTTAGCGAGAAATACTAGGTGCGCGTAATACACGACTACGGATTACGCAATAATAACCTCTATTACTTTCAGGGTAGGGTCGGAAATCGTGTAATTTATAAAATACTATGTGGATCAAGTATTTTTTTAAATGGAATAGGTGCCGCCTAGTACTGTAAAATACCTAGTGTGTGGATCTGTTCTAGTAAATACGTCTCATCTCTAGCTGAGTTACACCACCTAACTTTGACCGTTACTATAACGATAACCGGTGTTTTTTGTATGGAGTTTGACATTTGTCAAGTGAGATGATGTAACCCAGCCTTACTTAATGTTTCGTTGTTATTAAAGTCACAGAGATTCACCTAACTACAATATTCATTAAAAGGTACTACTCGTAAGTAGGTATTATACTTACGAGTATTATGTTATTTCGTTAAATATTACGTCATACCATGCACTATTCTTCCTGCTTAAAAAATACACAGTATTCAGCTTGATGTTCTGTCGTATGTACCTACTCTAGTATAATAATATCAGGATGAAAGATATTATATCCCTTTAGACATGTCCGTACATGTATGTCAGTAGTTAATTATTTTCCTCCATTAATCTCCGTAAACAATAATACACGTAAAAGCATCAACGATGTCTTCATTTAGTAGAAAGACATGAAAGCAGGATAATTTCCTTGCTTTCTTTCATTCTGTTTCCTATTTTGACATTGATTTCTTGTATTACTTAGGTATATGATACCAGCTTATTTTGACCTCTTTTGTGAATTTACTTTATTGCTCCCATCCATTTAATCAATTAGAAATAGTCAAATGGTAGGTACATATTCACGCTATTGAAAATAGTAAGAATAATACGAGTACAAGTACATAAGTAGGCATTAGGAAAATCTTTCTGCCTTTTACATTTTCAAAACTTTTTGACCAAATAATGAATTTTGGTATTATTAAAAGATCATTGGGATCTTAAAGAAGCAAAAATCAGAAGAATATCTGACAGAAATATCAGAGTATTCAGTAGTCAATAAAGTGGTTATTTCAATAGGTACCAATAACAAAGCAAGCAAAGACGCGGAGAGAATTTGGTAACAATCAAATTTGCATAATCTATTTTAGAACTAATTAGTGGAGCTAATAATTATGCCGTTAAGTTAATCAAATTAAACGACATTATAGATTCATTGTGCTCGACCTTTGCAAATGTATTTTAAACATCAAAGAGTATTTCAAATAAATTAAAATCACATTCGCTTGCAAGAACGAACACAGCAATAAGTTTCTGTGTGAAAGAGTTTCAAAATGGAAACCATTTCAATAAAGTTAATAACGATCCAATGAATATAAATGAAGAATCACCGATTGTCACTTTTATTCAGTGTACAGTAATTAAAATGAGGTTTTGTGTTCAGTATTTCAATTTATTTAACTGATGTCTCGTTTGTTGGCGCATAAACGACTTTCCTGTAATAAAAGCTTAATTTCATGAAGCACATCAAGGTTTGGTTCTTAAAAGACTAAAACAGATTCAAGGAAACTCACGATTACTTCCAATAAACAACATTGTGGGTAGATTATTTTGTCTACCATTAAACACCAGTGATCATGCCGTATGAAACTACGATACGAGTATGTAGAGTTATTAGAAAAACGTTGTAATAAATGTCGATGTCTAATCCTGAATCTAAGCTTGAGACAGTAAAGATTAAAACAACTTTAAGTTGTCGTTATAAACATAAAACTATATGAAATAATTATTGTAATGCGAACAGCTAGGGACTGGAATTCGCTGCCTGCTGCTGTCTTTCCTGAACACTATAATCCGGTCCTTTTCAAGGCGAGAGTGAATAGGCACTTAAGCGCAGATATGTACCATCCTAGACTGCATCTCACTTAACACCAGGTGCGATTGCGGTCAAATACCTCCCTTGTCTTGCTTAAAAAAATCTTTTGTATATCTTATCATAGTATGCTTTAATCGCGTGTTTCATTCGCAGTACCCTTCCGACTCAGACAGCGAGTCGGTCTGGGAGACGGCAGAAGTGACGCTGGAGCGCGGCGCTAGCGGCCTAGGCCTCAGCATAGCGGGCGGCGAGACTGGCGGTGACGTCAGCATCACGCGCCTAGCCGCGGGAGGCGCTGCGAAGAAAGATGGCCGACTGCAGATTGGAGACATCTTGTTACAGGTATTTATCTTTCTACTTGAACGCTGTAATGATATTGTCACCCTGATTGGTAGAGGTGGGTGGTCGTGTGAGAGGGTGACACGATTTCATCAGGCGATGATAATAATCCTGTATGCTCGCGCTATGACTTCTAATTTTAATTATTTAGGACACTTCCTCGTGCCTATTAGAACGACAAGGCTAAGGGACACTCGTCCGTCAAGAAAAGTTTCAGATACTTAGTTACCTAAGTACTTTCTTGACGCATAAAGAACGCTTTTGAGCCTTTACTGGACTAAACAGCAGCCTTTATTTAGGTTGATGGCAACCGGTGACTTTCGGATATCTCTGTCCGAGACTTCCAAAGAATCCCAAAGGTAGAGTTTATCTGTCAGATAAATTCCAGCAGGTGGCGAAACAGGCTAAGTCTGAATAGACAGAAAAAAGGCTGTCGCCACTTTTTTGGAAAGCTTTTGTCTTTTTTTAATAAATGCGAAAGGGCAGGATACCCGTCTCAAAATAAAGCGCTGACAAGTACAATAGACGAATTAGTAAGGGACTTTAGTCACTGAGCGTAAAAAAGGGAACTGAATTTAGTTTGACAGTTCTAAATTGTAGTCCTGCCTTTTATTTACTGAGGACGGAAAACGATTTACTTGCTGACTACACCAAATAATAGACATCTGGGACTGGGTGGGTGGTTAGGTAGGTATATAGATTTGACTGAATCACTGATATCCGAAAGTTTCATAGCAGAGAGACCAGCACATCAGATTATAAATTTTGTTGCCAAATCGCCCGTATTTATAACTGTACTTGACCTAAGTAGGTACGCGAGAAGAGCGATTATAGTTCGTATTCTGCAATATCGTAGTAGACCTTAGGGACAGCAGCTTGAGGTAGCATAGGTAAATACTACATAAAAATAGCTTTAATCTTTCCTTATAGGTTAAAAAGTTATTAGGGTGATTTTTTTGTTGACTGTACCTGAAACTGGTGACAGGCTCAGGTACAGGACTCAGGACCTTGGGAAACTTCAAATATTTTAGAAAACTTTAAACTTTGGATAAATACATTAGGGCAACTTAAGAAAATGGGAAATTGCTAGTAAACTGTTATATTTTACAAATTTTATAGGTAAACTTCAAAAGTGTGAGTCTGGCGTGGCAAAAGAAATGAGGGGACTTAAAAAATAACGCTGCCAAACTTTTTTATCACGTAGTTAAAAAAATTGTTCGCGGAAGTTACTTAAACGACATCCTTCAAAACTCCGGCTTTTTATTTAATGAAATTTTATGTACGGTTTGAGGCTTTATTTGGCCGCGAGACACAATCATGGTGGCTTGGATTTTTTTAGATCTACGTTTCATAACATGGATGTTATTTTGTGGACATGAACCAAAATACATTTATATTAAAGGTCATGGGCGCGCGGGTGTTGTAAGGGATTGTTTTTTTAATATGCTAACGAACTTTTTGCGTTCACAAACAGTTTTTTAACTTATCAAACTCATTAATTATGATTCCCGCCATACACAGCCATCCAAACTTTATGGTAAGAAAATGGTTTAGACTCTAAACTTTAGAGTATGACAAAATCTAAAGACACAAAATAATGGGCTCCTAATCCTGAAACACAATATCATCGAAAACATTGAAGCCTCTCTTTAAAAACAGTGTCAACGCGTAAGAAATGTATCTGATATACTTAAGATATAGGCTTCTTCGTGTAAACTTTATGTACTCCAAGCCAAACTACATACACAAACAGTATTTTTCACGATGCGCCATAAAGAATCCTCTCAAGATAACCTCAATAAATTGCCTTAGTATCTCTATGTGAAATATGAAGGAAATATTAAGCTGAGCTGCACAACAAGAGAATTATACCCGCTGCGTAATATATTCTAGCTTGTTTTTCTTTTTTAATTAACTTTCTTTTGTTTTTGAGAATCCCTGAGATAGTTCAATTTCTTTCTCATCTATTATGTAAAGAACTGCCAGTATCTGGTATGTGCGTACCTACTACTCGTAAACAAAATATAACATTATTTTTCCAATACGCTTCCTTTTACCATTACATTTGTATAATAAAAAATAATAATTACCAAACCCACGTGAATCAGCCGGCTGGCTTTATTTTTTCAACAATATATTATCATTTTGCGTATCCCTCTCCACCACGTCATTATGAATTCTTAACGTATTTTGTGGATTCGTTTCATCTCATTTTCGTTTAATTTTATCTTCATGCCATGCTTTATTCCGTTTCAATCCAAGTATCAAAGAAATTTTTTGCACATTTTGTAATTACAAATGTTTGTAAACTGTATTCACAAAATATTTGTTCCTGAAAAAGAGTCTGTGTTTTTAGCAAAAACACTTTCTGCTTAGGCTTTTCTTTCTTGTAAATTATCTTCGTAGTTACATCAAATTAAGTATCTCGGATAATTTTTAATAATTTTTCTCTTCTTCTTATCGTGTGGGTTGTTTCATTAGTCTAGCGTTACTCTTTATGAGCCGTCATAGGAGTCGAACTCGGGTAAATTGGACCTAGATATAGGTCCACGGATAATTCGTTTTTATTATTATTTCTTTGAGTAAAACTGAAATGCTTTGTTATTGAAATTACCACAATTGAATGCAAAGTTTGAATTAAACTAGCATACGGATGTTTTTAGAATGTGTAAATCGGAAAAGGGAGCAAACATGCCTGAAAACTAAAGAAGATATTGTTGAATTTGAAGCCACTCGTGACATTTGAAGAGATAACTTGACTTAAGAATTTGCTTATAAAGACTAAACCGATGTAAAATTACACCATTTATCTAAATATTTACTCAATTAACGTTTAATTTTACCTCCTAATGAAGTAGCGATTTACGAAAAGCTGATTAATCACATGTGTAGGGTTCCCTCTTCCTAGTTACGGGTAGCGTAACCCGTAATTAAGCGACAACCCTTGGCTTAAAAGGGGCAAGGTACACACCTCAGAGCTGTGCCCTTGTTAATAAATTCATCGCAGAAGACATATTGGGACTCTTCCTATGTATACTGCACTAGCCATGCCCGTGACTTCGTACGTGTTTCAGAAAAGGATAAATAAATCACTTCAAGACCAAAATCTTTTCTACATACGTCTGGTTTGTGAATACGTCTGAGGAGTTTAGATTTATTTCAAATTTAATTGTTAGAAAGTTTGTTTAGTTATCATAAAGAATTTAATTGTTAATTTTGTGCCATTTTGTGTTTGTAAAAAAATATTGAGCCACAACCTCAGATCATAGAAGGGAATTCTCTTTCTTTGATCTGAAGCCACAACTCAATAGGCATCAGTGAACTAATTTTTTGACAAAATTAAAAAAAATCCAGGTGTTACAATACACCTGCTTATTGCTTACAATAATAAAAAAAAACGACTGAAATTAAATTAAAATGTAGTAGAAAAGTTAATAATTCTTATTTATCCCATCAAAAACAATACTTGTCATAAAAACCAAGTCTCGCAACTCAGTTGTTCTACGGTAAACAGTGATGAGATCCATGTAATACCAAGTCCAGGCCAGGAAATCGTTAACGTTTTACATAAATATATTGACTTTGCCATCGCATGAAAACACGTGTAAATTAAATTATTTAGTGCAATGGCCAAGTCAATAATTTATGTAAAACGTTAAAGATTTCCTGGCCTGGACTTGGTATAACATGGATCTCACAACTTTTTACCGTAGAACAACTGAGTTGCGAGACTTGGATTTTTTGACAAGTATTGTTTTTGATGGGATCTCATTCCTTTTTGTATTTTGTAGACAGTAGTTATGTATCTAGAAGACTGGACCGAAATTGAAAAATTTTACTCGACTTGGCGGTTGCACTACCGTGCCCCCAAATATTTTAGTTTTTCCTTGATTCATACACCAAACACTACTTATATTCCAAATTTGAAGCTTCTAGGTCTGCTAGAAGTGCCTTAGAATTTTGATGATCGGTGAGTCAGTCAGTCAGTCAGTCGGTCAGTCGGTCAGTCAGTCAGTCAGTCAGTCAGTCAGTGAGTGACAAAATTAAGAAACTTTGACCCGTTATAATTCTGAAACTACTGGTTCAAATTGAATGAAATTTGAAATATACCGTGTCTTTACAATGCCTGCATAGCTTATGAAAATTCAGCCTTCTAGTTTTATCCACAACGAAGTTACAGGCGGTCGAAAATGGCCTGAATTGCTTCGAGAAAAGGATGGTACGGCCGTGCCGCTTTTTTGCTCGACTTGGTGGGGGCACTGCCGTGCCCCCAGATATTTCATGCAAGCAAGGAAATCTAACTTATGATTGCTTTTATTGTGCTTTGAGTTTTAACACCGCGATATGTAACTCAAATTGTGATTTTATTTAAAGCTAACTCTAACCTTTCTTTAGAACTAAATTAAGTTTTAGCTTCTACTTTTCGTAGTTCCTTATTTCCACTAACGACTTTTCTAAAGTCATTAGTTTTCTTCATTGTTTAAGAAATATAATTTAGATTTTCTTTAGCAGAGTGTCGCATTGTCGACATTAATGTTTAAGAAGGCTGCCGCGGAAGCTCTTGTACGAATACACCTACAATTTTTGCCTTTTGTTTTATTAGTTAGTACATAAAAAAGCTCTTTGAACAAGCCGTGCCTTTACATCTTTTACTATTCATAAAGAGGCTTATGTATAAGTACTACGGTAATTACGCGTTCGGAACTTATTAGGTACACCTACTTCTTATAGCATTATTTTTTTACTGGAAAAATACTAGCTGGAACTAGAAGCCCAATGCTTGCCTATCGACTGCTCTACAAATATACAATTTTTAAGAACAAAAATACCTGTTTGTAATTTTATTATAAAGAGCTGTGGTTTTCTGAATAAAGAAAAATAAAATAAACATTTCAATGTTATTTACGAAAAGTAACTTTCTTTCACACCTCCGCTTCGTAGAGTTATAAATCTTTATCAATTATAAACACTCTTAATCTTAATATAAACAGACACAGTTAAGAAGATTTCGTTACCATTTTCGGTGAATTTTAACAACTTAAATAATGTATTCCAAACTGTCTTCCAAGTCAACAACCAGAGTTAATAATAGGAAGGAATAAAGTTACTTTTCCACTGCAAATTGTAACACGAAACTTATTTCAGGTGAACGACATTTCCGTGGAAGGCGCGCCGCATTCTGTAGCCGTGGACGCGCTGCAACAAGCTGGAAACGTTGTTAGATTGGTGAGTCAAATTAATTCATAACTTTATACTTACTTGCTTTCTTCTTTGTTTATTGCGTGAGCTTCTTTTGTTTCGGGTTCTGTTCGATTTTTAAATTTATTAATAGATACAGACGTGCCGTTGTCAAATCTTTCACTTGTTTTTTTTTTATCTTGGACAAAATGTTTATTTTTAAAAGTTGATGGTTTTTTTTTGAAATATTTTCTATAATGTAAGCTCATTATGCTGTCATTGAAATACAACGTGTTGCGGAGAATTTGACTACACGTATAAAAAGGACTTCACAATATCGCAAACTTCAAGGCAATAAATTAAAAGAATCAATTGATTAGAGAAATCGGGTAAAATCGCTTTGATTAAGTACATAATAAAACACCTTCCTATAACATGTAGGTCCATAAACAGTTTAAATTGCCTTAACTTTTTACTCAACTAAGATTGGCAAAAAAATGAAACCTATTTTCTTCTTTATAAGTAATTGCTTGCCTTTTTCATTAGCCTCAGTCTCTATAACAATTAGATTAAACTTCATACCTGAACTCATTTTGTACTACCACAATGACAAGGCGCTTGCTTTTAGTCTAATGCTTAGTTTTAATCAAATTAGATTGATACAAAGTGCTTTGCTTCAAGATTTCAAAGGCGTGTAGCTAAGCCGTCTAATTCTCCGCCTGAGAGGATTGTAGATATTTGCTATTATTTTACGTTTAGTAAAATGACACAATATACGTTACCAAAATAAAATGGATTAAACCATGATTAAATAAACATTATCCGACGGCCGACCAAGATTTTGAAATATAATTATTGTACGAATATCAAACACAAAGTTCAAATTGTATTGGATTTACACTAATTTTATAATAATTCTGAAAATTTGAATGAACGAAGTACAGGGCCTACTTTTTTAAATATTTTCTTTAAGATCGTAAAAGTAGGTGAATTAGGGTTATTACACCTAAACCCTAATCCTATTTACGTAGCTAATTAATGCATATCAAGCACAGTAGATAAATTAAAACAGTACGGAAGCTTCATACAAACGCTCGAAATCAGACTCACGCACACAGACGCACGCTTTACACGAGCTCTAAGCGAACCTCGCAGTCCATCCGTCGCGAGTGTCGCGCGCGTTGTTTTTATAATAATTTAATTTTATTGCATGCGCTGTCCGCTGTATTTTTAAAAACATGCCACGAGTATATTGCGTAGTATACGGATGCTTGAACTCGGCATCTTCAAAACCAGAACTTTCATTTTTTAAACTTCGTAATAATTCAGAATTATTCTTCTTAATTACGTAATTACGCTTTGTAACAATTTATGTGTTCTATTTGATAAAGTAATTTGCTCCGCAAGCTTTTGTGCTAAGTGATGAACTGTATTTAAAATGAGGCAATAGGTATGTGAAAGTAAATATCAAGTATTTTATTTATGAGAATAGACCTTCTACCGGCCGGCCTCTAATAATACTTAATCAATTTATTCGATTATGTAGGTATTCGATCATTATAGTAGGTACCTAATTTATTAACGTTTTATTTTTTTGTTAACTACTTAGTCAATTAATTTATTCCATTAGGTATTTGATAATTAAAAAACCTTAATAAACGATTTAATAAATAAGCAAGTAAGAACCTAATTATTTTATAAAGATTAAGAGTGCCAACCCTAACACTCAGTTGAAGCACAGTAGATAAATTAAACAGTACGGAAGCTTCATACAAACGCTCGAAATCAGACTCACGCACACAGACGCACGCTTTACACGAGCTCTAAGCGAACCTCGCAGTCCATCAGTCGCGAGTGTCGCGCGCGTTGAGTTTTTAATAATAATATTATTGCATGCGCTGGCCGCTGTATTTTTAAAAACATGCCACGAGTGTATTGCGTACCTAGTATACGGCTGCTTGAACGCAGCATCTACAAAACCAGAACTTTCATTTTTTAAACTTCGTAATAATTCTGAATTGTAAAAATGATTAAATATTCCTTTTTAAATAAAGTGCTTACATCTGATTTTGTAATAGTTCTTTTTAAATTACGTAATTACGCTTTTTAAAAAATTATGACGTGTTCTATTTGATAAAGTAATTTGCTCCGCGCGCTTTTGTACTAAGTGATGAACTGTATTTAAAATGAGGCAATAGGTATGTGAAAGTAAGTATCCGGTATTTTATTTTATGAGAATAGATCTACCGGCCTCTAATACAGTACTTAATCAATTTATTCGATTATGTATTGGATCATTATAGAACCTAATTAACGTTTTATTTTTTTGTTAACTACTTAGTCAATTAATTTATTCCATTAGGTATTTGATAATTAAAAAACCTAAATAAACGTTTTAATAAATAATTAAGTAGGTAAGAACCTTATTAATTTTATAAAGATTAAGAGTGCCAACCCTAACACTCAGTTGAAGTGTAGGTATTTAACTCGCCGAAAGGGCTAAGTTTCCGTACTGCTTTAGCTCATATATATACTGTGTATCAAGCCTACACAAACACATACATCATTCAACTCTAAATTCTCTAAGCGCATACCGAGGGGTAATACTCTCGCATATACGGCCATAACCCTGAACGCTTATTTCCATAATATACAGGGTGTTAGGTAAATTCATATACCCATATGAGCCGACACTAGCCCATGTTAACATGGTCATATAAATGGTACGGTGAAGTCAGAAAATTGATATGCTCATTTTAATTATTTTATTTTTCATACATATCGGATTTTATAAAATGTATTTTGTTTGGCTCATATACCCATTTACCTAACACGCTGTATATCCCACAAGCCGCAAATTTTCCGAATTTTCATCAAATCTGTCGTGTTTCTTTTAGCGAGTTCGCCCAGCCCGCAGGCCCAGGGGTTGTCAAGCTATGGCACGGCGCCCGCAGGCTAGGCCTATAAATATTTTCTATTCGTAAAAATGTGTAAAATTGGGGTTATTACACCCAGTTAACATAGAATGCGCACTACGATAAATGAGGCATTTTATCGACTTAGACGATAAGCATTGTACAGGGTGTTAGATAAATGGGTTTATAAGCCGACACTAGCCCATGTTAACATGTGCATATTATAAATGGTATAGTGAAGTCAGAACTTTGATATCATTTTTTTTTTAAATTTTCATACAAAATAAGATTTGTATGAAATTTAAAATAATTGAAATGATGATATCAACTTTCTGACTTCACCATACCATTTATATGCACATGTTATCATGGGCTAATGTCGGCTTATAAAGCCATTTACCTAACACCCTGTATGGCACGCAATCCTAAGCTGATTTGTCTCATTTAGATTTACACATAAAGCCTACACGTCTTAAATTTTCCGAATTTTCATCAAATCTGTCGTGTTTATTTTAGCGAGTTCGCCGAGCCCGCAGGCCTAGGGTTGTCAAGCTATGGCGCGGCGCCCGCGGCCTAGGCCTCGGTATCGCGGGCGGAGCGGACGACGCAGCGGGCGGCGGAGGCGTTTTTGTATCCCACATAGCGGTTGGCGGCGCTGCCCACCACGACGGTAGATTAAGATTAGGCGATAAAATTTTAGCTGTTAGAGATGAAGACGTGAGTATTAATTTTTTTTTAAATATTATTTATTATTCATGCTTGTTGATTGAACGACAGTTGTTTCTTAGTATCCATTTATTTAAACAGTCAGAAGGACCGGCTCTTCTTTAATAACTAAAAATATTATTATCAAAGGTAGTCCTCCTTTCTTTTTCTTTTCTATTGCTAACGATATTAAATTGTACATTTTAAATACAAAACTATAACTTTCAGGGTATAGAAACATCTCTAGTCGGAGCAACACATGCGCAAGCAGTGTCCGCATTGCGGAACACCGGAGAGCAAGTGACGCTCGTCGTCCTACCCGCAGGATCTATCCCGCCCGTAGCGAGAACCGCTCCGCTATACTCCAGTAAGCGCACCCTTATGTATAACTTTTATTAGTTTACTTTAGGAGCCTTAAATCTTCTTCTTTAACTGTAATCTGTTGTTAGTTAGATAACTTGTGAATAAATTGTGTGCCTTTTTTGTTTCCAAATATTTGTAGACATTGTAACAAATCATTTTTGATCAGAAAACTTTTTGTTCATAAACTGTTTTTGGAGGAAATGTGTGTTCAATTTATGAAATGATTTCAGCGCGCACACAGGCCACTTCTTGTTCAACACTCCACGAGCTGCTGGAGGAGGAGCCAAATGAAATACCGAGGTAACTTTAGTATTTCTGGGCACGTTTCATTCGCCTCTTAAATTAAGGCAACGTGTTGGCAGTTGGCACTAATTCAAAAACTATAAAAACGTTAACTTTTACGCCGTGAACCCTTTTTTGGCACGGCTTTTATCGTTTACCCACTTTAACAACTGTCGACATCCATTTTGATTAATATAAAAACCCTGTAAAGTCCCTCTTCATAATCTTTCCTTTGTTTCTTGTCACGGGCTTCGGGGGCTTTATTTCGGGTAATTTTCTCATTTTAAATATGAAAAGATAAAGCATTAAAAATAATTTCCATAGACTAAAATATTGGGTAGGTGCTCTATTGTAAAAAAAATATCGTAAAAATTTAAATATCGATCTCAATAAATAATTTATTCGTCATGATTAAAGTCCACTTAATCCCAACATTGTGTCATCCAATTGATAATTCTGTATTCCCTTTGTCCATAGATGCGTCCGCATGGTTAGGCTAGTACGGTCGGGCTCCCGATTAGGTATGGACATCGTGGGGGGGTTAGGGGGGGAGGTGGAGGGGAACCAGGGGACTGAAGACGACACGTGCGGCGTGTTTGTGTCAGGAGTCTCGGTAGGGGGCGCTGCATACGGGATGCTGTATAGAGGTGACAGAATACTGAGCGTTGATGGCAGGGACCTGACAAGGGCGACGCACGAGCAAGCCGCTGCTGCTTTAAAGGTACTTAGCAATAGGGTAATGGAAATTTTAGATGATTAATGTCATTATTTTACCATCAATCCGTAATTTTTAAGTGACCCCTATAAAAACAAAATACCTGATAAATCTTACCATAGGGGTCACTTAAAAATTAGGGCTTGATGGTGAAAATGGGCATTAGTCAATCTACCCACTCGGATAAGTATTTGTATTATTCATGATTCCTGTGACTTATTATCGGTTCTAGCTATTATTAGTAACTATTTCTAAGTAAAATAGTAAGACACGGGTCTTAACGCGACGTTTATTAATGAGTTACTTAGGCCTAATTCACACGAGAGCTTTTTTAACGTCCGTTAAAAAAGCGTTCAAATAGAACATAATATGCATACCCAAGCCTATTCCCAACGCTCTGCGTTGAAAATGCAACACTGCTCGATAAAAAAGCGTCGCGTTTTAAAAGCGCCGACGTGTGAACACGTACTTGGGTATGCATATGTTCNCAAATAGAACATAATATGCATACCCAAGCCTATTCCCAACGCTCTGCGTTGAAAATGCAACACTGCTCGATAAAAAAGCGTCGCGTTTTAAAAGCGCCGACGTGTGAACACGTACTTGGGTATGCATATGTTCTATTTGAACGCTTTTTTAACGGACGTTAAAAAAGCTCTCGTGTGAATTAGGCCTTATGTACTCACGGGTTGACGTTTCGGCTATGCAATAAACGTCGCGTCACGCGTTAATACCCGTGTCATACTATTTTAGTTGAAATGGAACACGAAAGTTTAAAATCTTATATTTCTAAGCGCTCTTTGTAAACTTTACTAACTGCATTGCGCTATAGTCACCGTTTAATAGCTACGAGTAATAAAGAGTTAGGGGTAATAAAACTACTCAAGGCTATAAAAGATAGGTATCCAATAAGACATAAGAGTCACCTGATGAAGCGCTTAAACAGCTTTAGAGTGAAATAAAAGACAATCGTTGAAACAGTGACCAGAGCAATAAATTAAATAGAGCCAAATTTTATTATAAGTTGAAAGTCTTGAAAATTCAATTGTAACTAAATAAACTAGTAAACTTGGCAAAGTACAAGGTGCGGTGGAGAAGAGCCAAACCATTTCATTTATTAAGTGTGAAAAATTTGTCAAATACAAAATAAGCAAGTACAAACTAATTATTACAACAGTAAAATACTTGGAATATCCAGTCAGTGCTTAAATCTATTAATTTTGTTTAGGAAGTAATTTAGTATTTAGTTAGGAAGATATTATAATAATAATTAATTTATGTAGGCACGCAATGAAGTTATTATTGTAGCGTACGCATAAATTATGTTATTTTTAATATTCGCCCTTGGATAGTGATTAATTACGATAAGTAATGAATAATAAGTAAAAAAGCAATCTGGTTAGTCTTGAGATTATTTAATTAATGTAGGTAAAATTATTAAGGAACGCCACTCAAGTTATTAAGCTCCGCTTAAAATATATTCTTACCAATTTGTTATAAGTCTGTGATTAGTCTTAGTAAAACTTAAATTTAAATCTAGGTTATTTCAAACTCAAGTAACTAGCAAGAAAAAAAAATTTGCTAATCTTAAGTTTTTGACGCGTTCACTTATGTTGGTAGTTTAGTCAGGGCAGGGCACAGTCGCCCGATAAACGAAAGTCCATGGTTCAATTTTCCCAAGTTTAAAGTTCAAAATAAGTTAAAAATCCTACCAATAATGCATTAACACTAATTTTCTTCCAACTATAGCAGTACTCAGGGAGCGCGGTATCCATAGCTGCGCAGTACCAACCGGAGCAATATGAGAGGCTGCGCGCACGCATCCGTGCCATCAACGCGGCGGCGGCCATGTCACCGCACGCGCGTCATGCCACGCACGTGCCCGTGCATCCTGACTTACACGCTATGTATCCAAGGTGAGACAAAAAGCTTGTTTTTTAAACATCAGATCAATATCAGTTGGAGTAGTTCGAGAGACTGCGCGCACGCATCCGCGCCATCAACGCGGCGAAGGCCATGTCTCCCTACATGCGTCATACCACGCGAGTGCCCGTGCGTCCTGACTTACACGCATAGTTGTCTCCAAGCTAAAATAAGTAAATCATCATCGTCATCATCATCAACAGCCCTTTACAGTCCACTGCTGGACTATGAGCCTCCCCCACTAAAGTGGAGGGTTTTGCCATAATCCCCAGGCCTGGCAGGCGGCAGCTAAAATAAATATTTTTGATTATGTTTTCATAAACTTTTCAATGTAGGAGTCTCGTTCAGAAGTTGGATCTGAAAAAAAATCAAGAGAGTTTTTAAAAAATCCATAGTGAAAAAACATTTTCATCTTGAAATCCTATTACAATATTAAAATTTGAGGGATAATAAAATATAATTTACGTGGCTTCTGTCAGGTGATTATTGCTTTGAATTCGTTATTATAATACACACTAAATCTAATAATAATGTTTTCTAGGAAATATATTGCATAGCTCGTAGGTTGCACATTGAAATTCATTGTACGAATTTTAGTAATATAAATAAATAATTCATTCATACAGTACCTTGCACCTAGCCAAGAACGTTCGTATATTACGTTCAGAGAAAGCTATTATAACTAATATTAATGTCGTAAATAATAAACTGTCGTAAGTGTACGAAACATTGCTTTATATTGTAGTTTACAAAAGCATAAATAAAATGTTGTGCCAAACTTTAAATGTGCAAGCAACATGCAACTATTTGTTTGGTGATATTTAACTGTGGTTGAGCAAGTAAATGGACAGTTAAGCATCAAGTTAATTATGCATTCCAATTAAAAAATAGAATTTAAAAATGTAGGTAGTAGGTACTCGTATTCCAGACATGTCACCTCAGTATTTTACGAACTTACTCGAGGTAAAAATTACTATGACGCTATACAAACTTTGTCAAGGTGAATAAGCTTAGAGGGGTTAAATGTGACCCTAAGGAGTCTTAATTAGGACCTTTAGTTGCAAAACATGACAGGGTCTTCTAAATTACAAACCCACTGAATTTAGATAGGATCTCATGGTGTAATTTTGACCCAAAAATATGAAGTAGGCAAAATAGGCTACCCAACCATATTTTATATTAATTATTTTCTTGCTACCAACAAAGGGATAGATGAGGCCCCTCGCCATCTTTTATATTCTTGTTTGTTTTACTTTATGTTTTAAATAGATAAAAAATGCATTTACACTTAATATACAAACTTGAAATCTGTCACAGAACATAATAATAAAAGTTAATTAAAGTGTCTATTTCATAATATTTAAAACGCCCATCTTACCTGTGTCTCCAATTTATCTCTCGGAACCATGAACAATCGTAAACTCACACTAAGCCCTGGAATTATTGAAGCTATATCCAAACTTTATGGTAATATTCCTTGTAATCTATGGAAACCACGGCAATCTTTCGGCGGAATCTTCGGTTACTAACAAATAGTTCTTATTTGGTTGGAATAGGGTTTAATTTGAAAGTTAGTCTGGCATTCCTTGGGTGCAGTTTAATATATTTGAGCAATAAAAGTGTCGTAATTTGGAACTGAATTTGCTAAAAGCAGCCGCAGCATACTGGCACTTAGGTAGGACTTGGTCGGGTAAACAGTGCCTTCATATACCATATGAGTCAGTAACTTGCATTTTCTACTTAAGTTATTGCCTGGAGAAGATTTTGAAAGGAAAATATTTGAATATTTAGATGGATGAAGCAGTTTAAAGCCTTTTAATATTCAAGAATATGCTAGGCGAGCATTTTATTTATTGGTAGTTGCTCTATTTTGGTAACTTACCTTTTTCATGTTTCATGCCTTTCAAAAATTTAAATTATTTTAAATGTAGTGCTAAAAGAAAAAATGCAGTTATTAATTATATTAATTGCCCCATTTAAAATAATTACCTAGAGTTTAATTTAACTCGTGAATAAGCTAATTGCCCGAATTTTCAGTCCATAGAAAAAGGCTCATAGTAATGACCATAAATTATTAATCAACATGGAAATTCAGCCTATTATATTCACAAAGAAAAGTTTTAAAAGCAGATTTAATTGAGAACATTTGTGATTTGAAATACGAGTTATTTAATATTGGTAGGTTTCTGTCTAGGTTTTACCTAATGTAAGAATGATTTATATTTCCAGTAACTTGTAATCCTTTAGGGAATTAGTATTTGAAAGTTAAATGAAAGTGCTAAAGTTTATTTAATTTCATTAATCCTCGTTGTGGATAAAAAATAGGTTACTTTATCAAACTGATTCGCAACCTTGTCCAATGCAAAATCGTTGTTGTTGTTCCTTTTGCAAAATAATAGCAATAGTTTTTTTAAGATTTCATTGCACAAATCAATTCAAGTTTTGTCCTTCTGTGAATGTTAATCACATAGACGAAATACTTAGATGGATAGGTATATGACGACACTAAAACCTTAGGAACTAACAAATTATAAATAGTAATTAGGTCAATCCACGTTCAGCGTTACGACGGCTCCATTATAATTATCAGGCACAATCCGCGCGCTGGAAGAACTTTCTAATGAAGACTAATTTATCGCGAAAGTTGGTGCCGAGCCAAAACAAATCCAATAATGGAATCAGAGCACTGTTGTTTTAACTGATTACCGTATACATAAACAGCTTTGAGCGTCATTAATGCCTGATAAAGGCTTATTTGTCATCAATGGTTTAGTTAGGCCTGAAACTAATCAACAATCAATGTGCTACCAACATTTTGCAAAGTACTGATACTGATGAATATACGGATGTTGTTTGCTGGTTCAATATTTAAAATGCATTAGAATATTATTTAGATATTAGTAGTGAGTTTTCGGTGAGATAAAGCAATGAAAAAGGTGTAGGATAGGCACTAGGCAGGTAGTACTTATTAGAAAATGTTTAGGAACATCGTTGACGCGATCTGCACGCGTTGGTTTGGCTGAAACTTTAGGCCCATTTGCCACCAAAGCGGAGAGAAGAGGATAAATATTTGAATAACCAATCACTTTCCGAACCAAAGCTTAGCGGAGAGGTGATGTCTGTAAAATAACGAAATCTTTTCCAAAATCTGTAATAGATTAATTTGACATTTCTTTGACAGGTAGCAGTGGACTGGCTGTGACATTGACCACTCAATAAGATCTGAAGACTAGTTAGTGAAAATTTTACAATTGTGTAGGTACGCGTAAGAACCTATGATCTCACTTCAAAGACTATTAACATGTTTTTATGTAACAAACAAATATTATAAAGACTTAATAAATTGTTTATCAATTAATTTAATTGCAATGTAACAATTAGTGAATGGACGCTGGTCTGTGTTAATTAGTTTGTTGCCAAATAATATTTACTATAATCACAATGTGACGTAACGTTTTTGCAGTCATCTGGCGGTTTCCCATTAAAATACGTAGGTATTTAATTAAAAGACCCACATTCATTATTGCACGGCAATAATGAATTCTTTACTTTGTATTTTAGACAGCTTTTCAACGCCCGTATTCACAAACGATGCTTGCGTAATTGAAACAGAAAATCGAACGCACAGCATTGAATAGAGCTCTGTGATTGGTTCATGTCACATGAATCATGTGTCACCCTATGCATCCACGCGTACTGTGAGACCTCTGTGTTTGTGAATACGGGCTATTTAATTACTCCTTTTGCAAAGCAGGGTTTTATTTTTGTGATGTGCTGGGTTCTTTTCTATAGAAAAATCACTGTAATTCAATTTAAAAAAAAAGATTTTCTTTAATATCTTTTACCCATACCAAAGTATAAAATTCTTGATAGAATAGTATAATAATAGAATTCTCTTTGCACGTACAAGCCGTATAATAAAAATCGTGGATTCGGCCTTAGCCATCGTGTGAGGATAGCATCTGGTGAATTTTCATTAGCTGTCTCTACTGCAGTGGGTATTGCACAAACGCAAGGGATTTAATCAAAAGAATTCTTCTTCTTCAAATAACAGAAGCGTAGACTTCAAATAAAACTTAAGTCTGCACTTCTGACATGTTTCACTGACGTTGGTATTCTGCTTTAAAAAAGGCTAAGCGAACTCCAGGCTGGATTTAAGAAGCTAAACATTTTTGAGATTCTGTCCCAAAATAGAAATGATGTATCTTTTGTTGTTTGATTCATGAAAATTCTTGTCATTCCATAACATCAAAACTGTATGAATAATCTTGTATTCCGTGGCTTTAGTTCAAAAATATAATAACATATCGACTTCTTTTGGATTTGATGAAATATTCAAGGATTAACTTATACAGGATGTCACAAAAATAGCAATCAGAAATAAGTAGAAAATACACTGTAGGATGAACAACAATAAGGCTGAGTTGCACCATCTTACTTTAACTTTGACAAAGGTCAAAAATCTGACAAACTCCATACAAAAAGCACCGATTATTTTTATGGTTACAGTTAAAATAAGGTGGTGCAACTCTGCCTAAGTCTTAAAAAGTTTTTCAATTCACCACTGGAAAAGAAAAAGTTTCCTTTTTTTCACGTTTGATGTACTTTTTCGTCCTTTAAGTTTGATAAACTATTTTAGAGACAACCTGTATTGCATAGACCAGCTACATTTCAGCTACTTTTACTGTACGTATATTGTGTAAATATTTTAGTTTCATAAGCGGGATATATCCTACATTGTGTATCAATATTTTATTTCATGATTCTCCTGAAAATTTGTGAAATAGACCTGTAGGCAAGGACATAGTAAGTAAGATATAACAGACTTACATAATGTTTTTCCATCTGTGATACTAAAATAATGTTAATGTTATTATCATTGTACGGTAAAAGTGAAATCTAATATATGTATGACATTGCAAGTATATTGACTTTCATTTATTTTCATAATTCCTTTACAGCCAAATCGTCAACGTTCAATTGTGGACAACACTCAT